TGTGTGTGTGTGTGTGTGTGTCAATCTTTTACTGTTAATTTATTTAATCTAAAACAACTGAAATAAAGCAGCAACAGACCACGGCTGACATTTGTTCAACTTTTTAAAAGTTTTTCCAAATTATTTACCTTCAGAAAGTCTTTTTTCCTATAATTTATTCACAGACATCAAATTGTTTTTCTTGATTTTACCTTTGAATCTAATTAATAATCTAATTAAACACCTGACACAACTTGTTCCACCTCTTTAAGTTTAATTTATTTGATTCTGATTCATGTAATTATTGATTTATGGCATCACACCATTTCCACTGTCTGTCTCAGGCGGCAGACGTTTCCCAGAGAAACACAACAGTGAGGTGTTTCCAGAGCAGGGCTGGTGCAGGTCTGCCTGCTGCCTTTGGGCCCTGGTTTCTGCAGAGGCCTACCTGCCATGGCACGGCGCGTCGGGAGGACCAGAGCTCTCATTACAGCTACAATGAAATAATTATGAATGGTGCGCAGAGACCTCATCACAAGAAAATCTATTGTATTATTTATTCAGCCAGTCCCCTGGTTCAGGGGGAGAGAACACTTATAAACGTGCAGCCATGCTGCTCTCCTCCTCATTCAGCCTCCTGTTTGCTCAAAGCAGAGGTGCACTCCTTCTTTCCCTCTGTCTTCTCTTTCTTCTTCTTTTTTTACTTGTTGTGCTTCTGGTCGTTGCACAAGGAGCATCTAGTCCCTGAGGCTCATCTCCAACTACAGGAGCAACCTGGCTCAACAACAAACAGGAAGAGTCTCTCACTTTGCTCCATGGATGCTGACATCATCCCTACATTTGGAACAATAATAATAATATTTGAATTATTTCCTGATGGATGCAGATTACCAACACTGCGGCTACAGTCTGTGGAGAACAGGAAAAGTGACAGAAGAGCTGCCTCGCTGCTTTGCAGAAGGATTAAGTTGCACGGAGCACAAAAACGCGACGAACGTGCGACGAACACAGCTGGTTGTTGAGCACAATGGGCCTCATTCAGGAGCTGCGGCAGGACGTGTGCGTGGTGCGAACACTGGTGGATAATAGAGGGAGGGCAGCGGAGTGGACGCGATGACAGCTGCGTCACGGGGTTGGGGAGAGAGGCATGGCCCGGGGCTCGACAGGTGAGTGATGCTGCTCCCCGGCTGACCGTCCGGCTGCTGGGCTGGAAGCACTCAGCGGTGGATAATTACACAATTACACATCGGCTGGTTGCACGGAGCTGATGAAACGTACAGACAATACAAGACATTTGTCAAAAAGGCAACAAGATGACTAAAATCTCTGTTTTATTAATAGAATAAAGTGTGAACTTGCTAAGTAAGGGCTGCCTTTAAAGATATACAGATATACAGTTAACTCCATATATGTCCACTAGGGGTGCAACGATACAGAAAATTCACAATTTGGTTCGGTTCGATACTTTAGTCTAACGGTTCGATATTTTTTCGATACAAAAAAGAGAAATTTCCATGCCCCTTTTTAACTTGTAATTTATTTAAATTAATTATGAACATTTGTTTAACCTCAAAAGTACAGTTTTTAAATTAAATGTTGCTGAAACAGCAAGTTTCTCAGTGGATCTGCGCTCTAAAATGCAGCCTAGGTGGAGTAGTCGAACACAGATCCACTGATCCTTCAACACAGAGCATCTTCAGAAGACAAGTTGATAAAGTAAATTTTAAAAATCTGTATTCTTCGATACAAGTGTGTATTGAACCTAAAGCACTGTTCGATACGGTTCGATACGGGTACATGTATTGTTGCACCCCTAATGTCCACCTATATATAGATATACACTGGTAATGGCAAACTTAAAAACATGCTCATTATTGTATTCTTAATGTTTTATATGAGTGAAATAAAAAATCCTCCTTGTTTCATGAATGATTCAATGCTTCTTGATGGCCTCCATGTTTTCTGGTCTGATTTCACCCYCTGATGTTTTTCAGGCACCAACTGTGGACAGTGAAGCTTTTAGGATGAGGAGCATCTCTAACTGAAGAGAGTTTTTTTGCATCCAAGTTCAGGTTTAACTTCAGAGCTGAGATCTTTGATTGGAGGTGGAATTTTGCACCAGTTTCCTCTGTAACTTTCTTTACTTGTACACAGATGTGAACACACTGAAGAAAAATGATTCCTGCTTTTATTAATTGGAAAATTAAAAAAAAATCATGAATATTTTATGCATTTTTACTTTTCTCCTTGTGCTTCTTGTAGAAATGTATCTGTTTGTCATTTTAACTGGACCGTAACATGATTCTGATCTAACCAATCATGGCCCAGCTCTCAGAACAGTCTGTAATCTCATTTTATGACTGGGATTAAAATAAGATGAAGTCTCAATAAGCTGTTTCTCACCATTGCTGCTCCATCAGGGCTCACCTCGCTCTGCTGAGACTGTTTGGGTGCTGCTCGGTGGGACGCACTGAGCGCGCTCCATCAATAATGCAGAATGTTTCTGTGGTAACTGCTTGGCAACTGCTGGTGCGTCGGCTGCATCCGGTATCAGAGGAAGAGTCTGAGAAACAAGACGAGAGAAACAGACTGAAGAGAAATGATCTTTGAAGGAATTTGTGAAGTGGAGGCAGAGAAAAGTGCCAGTTTTAGTTTTAAAAGCACATTTTAAGACAACAAGGGCCTTACAAGTTGGTTCAAACCAAACAGGAAGAAACATCAGTAAAATAAAAACACTACACTTCAACACAAATACAATAAAACTGACTAAAAGACGAGGAAACATCACAACATGAAGGATCAACCAGGAACAGAAAACATAGTGTTCAGTAAAAACACATCCTGAAGTGTTTTTATTTATCTGTGAATAAAAGCTGCTGCTGTTGGCCTCAGATCATCTGACATCCTTTACTGCACCCTTTCAAAATAAAGCTCTGTAGCTGTTTCAGATCTTTGTGGTTTGAATTATTATGGAAACAGTTTTGCATGTTTCTTGCACTGCAACCTTCTGCTGATGTTTGTGACCCATCATATCGAAATGAGGATCAAGTCAAAGAGACCAAATCACATTTTCAGGTTCCTGGATTTAAAAACTAAATTTTGGATCATTCTGATTAATAT